CTTCACCCGCGCTTCTTCATATTCGGCCTCGGTCACCTTGCCCACCTCCCACGGATTCTTATATATATCCCACTGGGCTTCTGCATGGACCCAAAGTTCGTGCAAATGACGAGGAACGACGGCAGAGGAAGACTAAAGTTGAGCCAGCAGTTGCTCCCTTTCAGCTTCCAGAGCATCGACCCGATCCCCCAAGATCGAGGCCTCCCGGTCGATCTTGCTAATGCGCTCTTCAAGCCTCTCCTCCCTTAGCGTGGCCATCGCCCTTTCCGATTCTTGCTCAGATTGGAGGACGCGGATGGTGTCCTCCAAAGCCGCCGCCCTCGACGAAGCTGAGGACCATGCACTCTCCATGCATTCCAACCCGACTACCTTTCTTTCCATCTCAGCCAATTTTCCCACCCACTGCACTCATTGCCTCGACCCTGAGGAGGTTCTGATCCATCTCAGACTGCATCGACCTCAGCTTCTCCTTGAGATATTCACACTCCACAACAACTCCTTTTCCTAGCTCGAGCTCTTCATCCTTCGCACGGAGTTGCTCCTCAAGCGCACTCTTGCTGCGAATAGCCTGCAACAGTTCCTGGTCCCTCTTCTCCAACTCCTCGCCGAGAGTCCGATCACAAGGGTTCGCCTTCAGCCGCTCATGCATCTCACGGCACTTGTCGCGATAGCGCCGATATTTCTCCATCATCTTCAAGAAGATTTTGGCCTGAATGTTGGCCCTGCGAATACTCTCCACCTCCAGCATATACGTTTGAAAAATGAGAATATGGGTTATCCCTCCGTCATCAAGAAAAACGAAAGAAAAGCAACAGGGATAATGTAACTTACTCTTAAGCCCATATCGGCCACCTCGTCCATCAAATCGGTGTCAGGAATGTTCCGAAGGGACATAGTCTCGGCCTTGGAGCACAAAATATCGAACTACGGCACCAAATCCTCCATATCCCCCAAGAGGTTGACATCCGAAGGAATCTCAAAAAAGCGGGCCGGACCTCCCCCTTGAACCACCGAATGGTAATGCTCTCCTCAAACATCCTAACATCATCAGGGACGAGGTCCGACTCGGACTCATAATATTTGACCACGATCCCCTTTCCTCTGTCAGCAGCTGAAGAGGAAGTACGACCATGCACGGAGGATGAGGGTACATCCGAAACCACAACGGCGGCCCAGGTAACCTGACCTTCCGTCGTGGTAGGACGCTGATCACCGACAATGGCTGGAATCTCTGGTTGAGCAGATGCAACAGCCGGTTCCGTCCTTACAGGGGGAACTGTATCAACCCCCATTCTATATCCCGTTGAAGGACAGTCGTCCAGATGAATCATAGTTGGGGGCGCTGTCTCAAACCCCACTCGCCGCCTTTTGGAAGGACCCCCTTCATCCTCAGTAGGCGGAGATTCACCTGTCGTGCGAGCAGCACGAGTCAGAACTTCAGCCTAAAAGCGATCTCAGCAGGAGCAACCCCTGCCGCAGACTCAACTGAAGCAGCCCTCGACGAAGGTCGAGCAGTGGGTACTGCGATAGGGCGAGTAGATGAGGCTGGTTGCCGAAAAGCTAACGGAGGAGCCCTCGCCCTCCATACCCATCCTGACATCGATGAGCAACACGTGAGAAATTAAATACAAAGAAAGGAAGGAGAAAAAATGACAAATGGATACGACATCTCACCAGAAAGAGGCTTGCGCCCGTACTTGTCATAGAAGGCCTCCCATGTGCGGATCCCCGCCGTATGAGGGAGAATAGCGCCCACCCACTCACGGATACTGTCAACAGGTGGAAGAGGCAATCTCGCGGCTGCAAAAAGTGGAAAATATTTAGTATCACGATAAGAAATGGTCGTGCATCCCTTCGACTAAAAATAAAACAACATACAAACTTACGCGCAAAGTTCCATTTCTCAGGGAACCGCGTTGGATCTGCCACGAGATGCTCGGTCCGCACGTAGAAATAATTCTCATAGAAACGACGGTTAGCCCTGTCGTCCATCTTCACCACCAGACTCTTTGACCCCCGAGGGCGCATGTGGATCATCGTACCACGAATGTGCTGAGGGGCGAAGATGTTGAGCATATGCCCCAAAGTGACCTCATAGCCGGGAGCTCCGCGAACTTGAGCAACATCAGAAACAGTTTATACAGGTACGACGAGAGTTAGGCAGGACATACCTCATAAAAGCGACAGAAGTCCACCACCAAGAGTGGGAGAGGAAGAGTGTACCCAATAAGGAAGGGGTACGCGTAGAACATGCAGTACCCGGGGCTGTCGAAATGGACGATGTCGTCTCCCACCGCCGACCGCATATCGATATAGTCGGGAATTCCCCACCGAACTTTCAAATCAGCAATATTCTCCTCCTTCATTACTGAGGGGACAGGTTCCGGCTCCTCCCCAGCGCGATCGCTGAAATCAACCCATGTTCTTCCGGGGCGGGGCAAGATCTCGGCCACTGACGGAACCTCCTCTTCCTCCACCAGTTCTGCCCCTCCGGTGGCCGGAGTATCGTTTGCCGGCGCCGGAATAGGGGCAGGGAGGTCAGCACGAGAAAAATTACCAGCCATTGTGTTAACTTAGCAAAGAAAAGAAGCGATGAAAGGAAAGGATGGGAGTTTTTCGGCTCACAGGGAGCAAATAAAAGTCTGAAGTTATCGGGAAGAAAGTATACTCGCAAGAATTCTTTCAGGCAAAAGGCAAGGGAATGTGTCAATCGAATGTTGTGTTCTTTCTATTTATAAGAAACATATACCTTCCCAGCACGAAACCCAAGAGTCGCCAATCAAACCCGGTGGCACACGAAACATTTCAACTCTCTAAGAACGTGTGTCATAATGGCTGCAACCACGAAACAACGTTTCAGCACAAACGACGTTTTGGTTCTGAAATGGTCGCAACGGTCCAGGAATACCAAAAGGGTGTCGTCATCCCTTCCAAATCCACGTAGCACAACCAAGGAGTGAGTAGTCTGATTTCTCTCGGGTAGACAGTGACCATAATCCGTCTGCCGAGCCCGACAGGAGACGACCCGACAGACAGAGGGACTAACTGTATTGGTCAAAATTTGACCACTACGGTTAGACCGACTAACGCCCCCAACAGACGGCAAGGTAATAAGGATCAACATGGGCTGTTCTATATTGCCCTCACGACTTTCGTCGAAGCAGTAAAGGACGACCTCCAGCAAGTAACCGAGGAGTGTGAGGCATAGAGAAGCGTCGGATATACCACATAGCCGGAGTTCCAGAGCTGCATATATAGGAAGGTAAAAACCTCTCACAGGGGGGCATTTCTGAAAAACATCTCTCCTGTTCTCGATCTATTTCCTCTCTGTAATTTCGATAAATAGAAAGATGAAAGAGGCAATCCGGGGGGCAATCGATTTAATATGTGATATGTCCTACTCCACCGATTTATGAGAATGATTCTGGGAAGTTTCAATAAGATCGTTTATCTTCACTTCTTTTTTTATATTGTTCTTCATCTAATTCTTTGATCTGGAATTCATTACGAATGATTAAAATTTATCCCATCATTTTATTTGATTTATTTGTTCAAAAAGGTTGCAATATCTTTTTGAGTGAAACAATAGTGCACCTACAAGATATGCACGTAGCGTTAATGGAAATATACGAGGCCATCTTTCAGTTTCATATGCTTTGAGTGCATCCTCGATAGGAATACGTTTATACTTGATTGCTTCTGCAAGTTTTTTGGTCAAAACTATTGAATCTTCCAAAGCACAACAACCACCTTGACCAAGATTTGGTGTCATTGGGTGCCACGCGTCGCCAACCAGCACTATACTTCCGGTAGAAGCTGGTGGGCTTATTGAGGGCCAAAGCCATCTATCTACTAGGCTACTTCTTATGATGGTGTCGTTTGGTGTAAGTTTAATGAGGTTTATTAGGTCTGTTGGCCAATTTTTAACGAGTTGTTCGGCCTACTGTCTCAAGATAGATTAAGGAAATTTATCTCCACAACATAAAGATGATTGTTATTTCGGTTGGGTAAAGATTTGCACCAACTTTCTGTGAGTTTTCTAACTAGGTCATAACACGTTATATGTGTTCTATGTAGGAGTTATATAGAACCGGAGTTATCGTGCAATATAGTAATTTAATTGTGTTAACTTGTTGGATACCGTAATCATGTATTCGGAACTTTTCCACAATATAGCTCTTGTTTATCGCACTAGCCCGTGGCAACTTTTAAATTGTACAGTTTTGAAATTGCATTAGATAAGAAAATATTGCATTGATATGATGAAAGTACATCGTAGATATTCGTAATCGGTCGAAGATCACGAAATACACCTATAATCTGTTGGCCATTTTTTGATTTTTTTACCCGGTGGATTCTACTTATATTGTGAATGGTACCTATATTTAAACTTTGGGTTCACCTCATTTGTATGTACACACTTTGTCAGGTTGAGGTGCCATTTTAATATTTCCCGATAAACATATCACCAACCTAGTATATGTGATATAGCGAAATATTTCCGGCGTAAAATTTTCCGCATTTTTTTAATACTCCACAAAAAATACGTTGTGGAGATAAATTCATCAGTCAGGAGGGATAGGATTGTGTGGTTACATTCGGAGATTATACTACAAAAAAAGCAGTGAAATAACGGCAGTTATTTGTACATTTTGCAGCGGTTAATACACATTTACGGCGGTTTCTAAAATCACCATAATCCCGTCCGCCAAAAGCTTAATACGGCGGTTCTTACAAAATCGCCAGAATTGTAAAGTGCATAAAATGGCGGTTTTCATTTGTATTATATGGCGTTTTTGAACCGCCGCAATCGGAAAGAATTGTCCCAAAGTGAGCTGACTATTATGGCAGCTGATAACCGCCATTATTGTAGATTGTTACTGTCATTATTTTATATTTATTTTAGTAATTTCTTCATTCCACATTTACATCAAATTTACTACACCCTATGCTTCTAATCTTGTATAATATATTATGGAGCAATAAATTTGACAGAAATATAAAGAATTAAACATCAAAGATATTCATTGTATAAAGAAAGGTATATCTCCACAATTACATCATCTAATATATTGAAGTTTCAAAGAATTATTTGGACGACCCAAAACTAAAACCATAGTTGATCCTAACACAATTACTAATTGCACATGTATGATAAATATTTTTGGCTCGATTCGTGGAGATCCGCTTCTAAATCTGGTGCCTGCAAAAAAGATGAGACAATAAACACGTATTATTTGTTGGAATATCGTCAAAAAATCCATAGAAGATCAAGTTTAAAAAAACCAAAGTTGTCCTCTTAATTGCAAAAGAATGTTTAACAAAAACAAGGGTGCATCACCAAATGGAGTTCTGGGAACCAATTTTACTTTGGAGCTACTTCCAACTTCTGGCAAACAAATGGTATATTATAATATACAAATTACAACTACAAATCTACTCAGTGAAAATCAATAACTAGAACTTAAGTCAAGAAGTCATTAGGAAAGGATCTAAATCTGCACGCTATGTCAAGTATTAAGAATTGCAAGGACAACATGAGAAGAATATTCAACGACGAGCAGATTCGATCACTAGAACACATGTTTGAGACAGAGGCAAGGCCTGAATTGAGAACAAAACAGCAGTTGGCTAAAAGCTTAGGCCTACAGCCGCGCCAAGTTGCTATATGGTTTCAGAACAAGAGAGCTAGATCAAAGTCCAAGCAACTTGAGATGGAGTATAGAATGCTTAAAATCAGTTATGATAACCTTGGTTCTAAGTATGAAATGCTCAAAAAAGAGAATGAATCTCTACTCATCCAGGTAATTTATTGAAATAACTTTCTCCTTTTCGAGTTAGAAAAGCTAATACTAGAATTTTCTTTATCTTTACAGTTGCAGAGACTTAGAAAGTTAACTGAAAAGGGTGGCAATGAAGAGATTTAGAATGAAGGCAATAAATTAGAAACAGAGGTGATCAAGTCAGAGTTCATACCAGAAACTTGCAGCCCTGAATTTGGCTTACCTTTGTGTGAAGACAGTAGGGAAATTGACTACTTGGGGACAGAATCTGATATTCTAAACATGGCTCAAATAGCTGATGGTTTATCAGAAATTAAACGCAATTTGAAATGACAAATTATAGCGTGTTGGACAGAAATGAAATTTCATAGCGTGTTGAAATTTTGCAGTGCAAATAGCGTGTTGGACAGAAATGTAGATTGCATAAGATATAGAGGCAACGCTGCAAAATATTTGAAAGTTGAGGTCTTACCTTAAAAATTGCACATGAATATGTCATTGTCTCATCTAGAAAGAGCGAGAAGAGTTCATTACTCTGAAAAAAAAGCAATAAATATACTTATAAATTTACACTTGAAGCCATAGGCCTATTTAAGATGAAAAAGTTACAAGAAAACAGCAGGCAAAGATCCATATGCATTGAGAATTTCAATATCATTAGTGATCTTGACATCAGTATGTGATTTGGTGATATAATATACAAGTTACTTACCAGGTCATAGTGATGAGAGATGTTCCGACGAGCCTGAGTCAGGGTGTTTTGATTTGAAACGTGCCGAATGAAATATTTTGCAGATGATACTGCAGCTGTAAAAAGCAGTGGTGTCCACCAGCCTCTGGAGTATAAAGGAGTGAAAATCATTTAAGGTATGAACATAAGTTGCATTTTCCTGATTTCAGTTTCTATAAAAGTACTTACCTTTTCTTACTAGACCTTGTGACTGATGCTTTCAAATCTCTGTTGTTAACAAAAATCTGTAAAAGAATTCAGGATGCCAAGTACCAACAAATAGCTATTTACAAAGAAATAGAGTCATTTCCTCACCATGAAAAGATTAAGAAGACCTTCATTCTTATCGACAAAAGAGAAATCCCCTTGAATAAAAGCATCAGCAAGGCCTAAATCACCTTGAGTTGCAACCTGTAAGAGATTAGTTTATGTCAACGAATTTATCCATATTGTAGAATTCTTTGAAATTTTCTTAAAAATGATACTAAAATTAATTCAAGCAGACCAACTCAATCATTCAACGTACAGAATTCAATAGTTCGCACAATAACATATAGCATGTGTAAATGACAACAAAACACCACTCCACACACAGAGCTCTTGATTCTGTCAACCAACTAAGCCTTAATCGCAAGCCAGGTAAGGCCACTATACAATTCACTGTACATATTCTGCTCTATTCCTGCTAATATATCTTCGAATATCAAAACAATCCAGGAAGGAGCAATAGGTGGCGTCCCTTCCTCTTAATGCGCACAAAATTAACATTTTGAAGGGTTCTCAGTTCTCTCAACCCTACACTGACAAACAAGTTCCAACCAAACCAAAAAAACTTCTAACGAATTCCAATCACAAAACGATTCGTCCATAACGATACCAGATATATGAAATCTCTGAGAGAAAGCAAGCTAAGCATAGAACCAACAACTATAGCGACATAGCATAGTAAAACAGCAAAGTGACCGTGGATCCACATAAATATCGACATATATAAGCAAAAATAAGAGAAAATCATAGAGTACCTTGGAGAGCTTGACCTACATATATCAAAGGCATGATGGAATGTCAGTGAACTCGTTGCGGGCTTCATTGGACACCGGATTAGAGGAAGAGAAGGAAAGGAGAGAAGATGGAGTCGTCGGCCATGGCGATTTGGTGAAACGCCGCTTACGGATTGCTCCTGATCGATGAACGAAGAGAGGCAAATGGAGAGACTAGGGTTTTTTTTTAGGTCGGGTCGAGTTCTAATCTGTGAGAGTTAGATGTCTATTTTTAAATAAATCAAAAATTATGTCAAAATTAAAATGTAAATAGCGGCCACTAGCTAGAACCGCCATATTATACACTTACCCGCCACTTTATAAATGAGTAATGTGGCGCTGCCAAAATGACCATTAATCTATTGTGTATTGCGGCGGGTTTTGGGAAATCGCCATATTAAAACCGCCGCAATCCTCCTTTTTTGTAACCTAATTTCTCTTTTTTCTTCGGACCTCCGTCCATGTTTGGGAAGGGAGTCTTTTTTGTTTTCCATCCTACTCAAATTAATGCGTAATCATCCTGAATTAATCAAACTAACTCTCAATAAAAACTGAAAATTTAAAGATTTTAACCGTAATTAAGGTAAGATTAATACTCCCTAATTAATCAAACAAACTTTCAGTAAGCGAAAAGTACCAAACAAAATAAAACGAAGAAAGTATTACATAAACCTGACCATTTGATCAATCGGTCATATAGTCACACGGGGGAGGACCTAGAAGCCGATATACAGGTTCGGTCGAATCCAACAGCTTTTGTCTAAACTCTATATTTGTATAAAAATATTCAACAAATATATATAAAAATGAATTCATAATACAGTTACTAATGTCTGATAATATTGTCATCCTAGAATTTAGGAAACATAAAGCTCTATAGTCGGGGTTGATTCCCATTTAATGAGCTTTATACTCTCCCGTCTCAAATTATCTCTCGTGCTTCTCTTTTACGCGTCCTTAAGAAATATTAATTAGGAAAAGCATTGGACTATTTTACCCTTATTTATGTCTTAAGAAATAAATTGATACAAGTATTTTTAAAAGCATGACAAATAGTTTGAGACGGAGAGAGTGCAACGCAATTCAAATTAATCAAAGCTTTAATACAAATATTGAAAATTGAATAAGAACCCAAAAAAAGTCTATTACGTAATTATTTGCTCGATAGACGATAGGCTGGCCGGCAAAAGTACTCAAAAAACATTTACCATCCAACTCCACAAAGATTTGTCCAAATAGATAAGATATTCTTTTGTATGACTTTTGCAATGCTAGCTTAGATTTGAGATAATTTTAGGAAAATTTTCATAAAGCACTATCTTTTAGTAGTAATTAGCCATTTATAGATATCATTTGTTATATTAGGGATTATAGATACTTTTTCTGTGGTTATAAGATGTATTTGATGTATTTAAGCTATTGTATTCATGAATACAGTAGCAAAAATAGGCGTGAATCAGGAAAGTCCTGCTAATCAGTTGTTGTATCCGAGTGTGCTCGACTGTATTCATGGAGTGAAACATGGGATTACAGCTGGACAGATTATTGTATTCGACTGTATTCACGGCGTGAAATAGGGGGTTACACTATTTTTAAAACGGAAAGTGAAACAATCAACATAATAGACTCCTAATATAACTCAACAAACTCAATTATAACACACAAAAATTGTATTTTCAGTTATAAAAAAGATTCTCAACCGAAAAATACCCCAAAAACATAGCAATCTTCAGAGAAATTATATAATACATATGAATACATAAATTATATTAATTAAAAAAAACATATGAATACATTAGCGAGATAGTGAATACAATGAAATACATAAAATACAGCAGGATACATTGAAATACAATGAATAAAAGACAGTGAGTACGATGAAATACATGGAATACAACGAGATTCATTGAATTACAATGAAAAAAAAGACAATGAATACAACGAATACATGAAAATACATTGAAAATTAACAGAAAATCAAGTTGCTCAGCCCCAAACTCCGTCGTCTTTGTTCAAGAACAAACCCTAATTTCCGGCGAATCCGACGTAGCAACGTTTAAAGGTACAACAAGCGACACCTTTGAGATTTGAAGGTACACCACGCGATACCTTTTTTCATTACCTGCTACCCAACAAATTCAATCTCGGCCGTCCACCCCGCTGTTCCGTCGCCGCTGCTCCATCGGCCATTGTATCCAAGGCTTTATATTTTGTCAGTGGTCAGATTGATTCCCTCCGATGAAATCCCAAAGACTCTGTCACCGACGGACAAGACTGATTTGATGAGATCCCTTGATATTCCATGGTTATGTGATGACCCAAAGGGTCATCACCTGTTTCTCACTCATTCTGTGTCTCCGAGGCCTTGAAAACCTCATTTAGGCTTGCCTCGATTTGCGTGCGCAGTCCGGGCGCGTAGCCGGAAAGCTTAAATATAAATTCTGTGTAAAAATTGATGAATTTTGATATTAATATGAATAAAGTTGACTTTGGTCAACATTTTGGGTAAACGGACCCGGACCCATGATTGGACGGTCCCGGAGGGTCCGTAGAAAAATATGAGACTCGGGCATATGCCCGAAGTCGAATTCCGAGGTCGAGAGCCCGAGAAATGAATTTTTCTGTGAAATTGTTTTTCATAAATTAATATGAAAATTTGAAAAGGAATTGATTAGAACGTGTTGGTATCGGGCCCGTATTTTGGTTCCGGCGCCCGGTGCAGGTCTTATTTGTGGTTTAAGCGCTTTCCGTGAAATTTGGTTGAAATCGGACGTCATTTGACGTGTTTCGGACCTAAATATCTAAAAAATGAAAGTTTATGAAGTTTGATGAAAAAGTGATGATTTTGAGGTTTAATTCATTGATTTTGATGTTATTTTGGCGATTTGATCGCACGGTTAAGTTCGTAGGATGATGTTGAGTTAGAGTGTGTGTTTGGTTGGGAGCCCCGAGGGCTCGGGAGTATTTTCGGAGGTGGTTCGGGGTGTTTGGAAATTAGAAAAAGTTGCAGATTTTCTGCAACAGGTGCCCAGTCATTTCCTTCTTCGCGATCGCACTCCCTCTCCCGCGTTCGCGAAGCATCAGAATTTCCTTCTTCGTGTTCGCGTCTTGAACCTCACGATCGCGTTAGCCAAATCCAGGACCCTAGTTGTTTCCTCTTCGCGTTCGCATCAAACCGTTCGCGAACGCGTAGCCCTGCAGCCTTACTCATCGCGTTCGCATGGCCCCTCACGCGTTCGCGTATAACAAAGTCCTGGACCCAGCCCTTCCCTTCTACGCGTTCGCGATAAGCCTTCCGCGAACGCGATGCTTCCCAGTCTTCCTTCTCCGCGAACGCGACCCTAATGTCGCGATCGCGTAAGGCAAATTCGCCCAGTTATTATTTTAAGTTCAGAAACAGAATAGTTGCGAGTTCATTCAAAAATTCTCACGAACTCTCTTCTCCCCCAAGCTTTAGGAATCCATTGAAGCCCCCATTCTTCAAGACCACTTGGGTAAGTAAATTCCCACTCATTTCCTTCATTTTTCTTCATTAATTAGTGAGTTTCTAAGCCTAATGCATGTAATCTAGGGTTGAAATTGGGGAAATTGGGTAGAGTTAGGGCTTTTTGATTTTTCTTGAATTGGAGCCGAATTCGAGAGGGAAAGCGGTCGTTGTGGATTGATTTAGCCGTGGAAGTTGAGGTAAGTGTTTGGTCTAACTTTGGTTTGAGGGAATAGGAGTAGAGTCTTACTTGCTAATTGCTATTTGTCGAGTACGGTGTATAGGCATGGTGACGAGTATCTATACACTGGTGTCTAGCATGACCGTGTGTCCTTATATTGAGATTATCCTTAACTTGTTGTAATTCTCCCATGCTTATTTGATGATTTCTATATACTGTAAAGAGCATGAGACGGAGATTATGATTATTAGACTCCGTGGAGCATTGGCTTGAGTTGTGTTGCGAATTGTGAAGGTATATGATATGAAATGATTCTTTGGAGCTATGGCTCAAATGATAAAGTGAGTTATAGAGTAAGAAAATGAAAGTAAAGAAAGAGATATTGGTTATTCCCTTGCCGGGACATTTTATTGATATGATGATTTACTCCCTTGCCGGGATATTGAGTTATTGACTTTTCTCCCTTGCCGGGATTTAGTGTGTTATTATGTTCCCTTGCCGGGATTTCTTTCACTAATTGTTTACTCCCCTGCCCCTTATTTTCGACTGTTGCCTCGGTGAGGATTAATAATATAAATATACGGATCGGGTTGCGTGCCGCAACAATGATAAATGATATATATGTAGATCGAGTTGCACGCCGCAACAATACTAAATAAGATGGATCGGGTTGCACGCCTCAACAGTGATGATTATGGATCGGGTTGCACGCCGCAACAGTGATGATTGAGGATCGGGTTGCGCGCCGCAACAAGTTGTAGCTTAAGTATGTTTATTCCGGATTTAAGTTTCTGCTGGCTGTTATAACCTTAGAATTTAGACTCCCTTTTTATAACTGTTGCCTCCCCACAGCATGTTCCCTCTCCCTTATAAACTGCTTATTTCCTGTTATTTTTCTGCAATATATTTCGTAACTGCACAGGTTTATCTGGTAGTCTGGTCTAGCCTCGTCACTACTTCGCCGAGGTTAGGCCAGGCACTTACCAGCACATGGGGTCGGTTGGGCTGATGTTACACTTTGTGCATCTTTTTGCACAGATCACAGCGCCGGAGCAACAGCTTTTGGACAGCAGTAGAGGATTCGGGAGCTGACTTCAGTCCAGGGACATTCGAGGTAGCCTTGCTGACGTCCGCAGGCTCGGAGTCCCTTTCTATTTTATTCAGTTTGTTATCATTTGTACCGAAGCAGACAGTTTTATGTTTCATTCGAACCTCGTATTTAGTATTTCTCTAGACGTTCGTGAGTATTGCGACACCAGTCTTGGGTAGAGGATTTTGTTAAAATTCTGCATTTCTTTCAGTTAAATATATTTGAGACTTCCGCTTTATTATTAAATGCTTCATTGTTTCTAATATTGACGATGTTTGCTAAAAGAGGCAATTGATAATTGGCTTGCCTAGCTCCTACTAGTAGGCGCCATCACGACCCCCGAGGGTGGGAAATCCGGGTCGTGACAAGTTGGTATCAGAGCACTAGGTTACATAGGTCTGACAACTCACGGACAAACTCGGTAGAGTCTGAGGGATCAGTACAGAGACGTCTGTATTTATCCCCCAAAGGCTGCAGAGTTAGGAAAACTTCACTTTTGTTCTTTCTTGTCGTGCGATTCTGTTTCTCAAATACTGATTGTCTTTCTACTCTGTTCTTTCGCAGATGGCGAGAACACGTGCTTCCTCTTCTACCGCGCAGCAGCCCGAGCCCCCAGCAGCAGCTCCTACGAGGGGCAGAGGGCGAGGCCACGCCAGAGGCCGAGGCCGGGGCATAGCTCAGCCCCGAGCAGCAGTCCCAGAGGTGGAGCCTCATA